CTTGCAATCATGTTTTATTTACAAATTTTTGCTTCACTTTTACTGATCCATGAAAAAAAAGCAAAGTTTAAATGAAGCATCTGCTATCTTCGACTACCATAATTTGTGAGAAAATGACTAAAAATATTTATTTCATCGAAATGAATAATGAAAGAATCATTGATTGAAGAAAGTTAACTAGCAGATTCGACATGTGCAGCATGTTCCATTATCTTTTGTGTATCCAACAAAACGAGACCGGAAAAAAACTAAGAGTCCACCATACAAAGAAATATTATCTACTATAGTGAGAGTACGAATAGCTGTGACCGGTATCGCCAGAGAACCGATCGATGCAAGGCAAACAACAGTAAGACTAGCCACTAAGGATAAATTTGAAACTTATTCAGAATGACGAACTGTCATAACTTACTTAACGGAGCTCCTAACCACAGATATTGTTGACGTTGTACCGATCAAGTACTCAACTGGGTACTATTGCACAGTATTTTTAGGTACCCTGTTACCAAAATTGCAGTATTTTAATGATCGAACCTAACCTTTGACTTTTTTCATTTTGGCTTCTCTCACAGCAAATTATGACATTTTTTCGATTTAATTTAATTTAATTTTTCTTATTTTGAAAACTCAAGCAGGTCAAATTTCGGAATGTGACCGGACCTCAGTTAGTCGGATCTTCATGGGACCACTTCAAGATAGTCCTCTCTCAATTTACGATCGAGATCGGCATGCTCTCGACTAGTAAATAGTCAAGAAATAATCTAGAAAAAAATAGTATGAAAAAATATTAATTTCTTATGTTTTGTCGAGCTGTTTATATGAAGCCGTGTGTGCAAAAGATAACAGTGAATGAACAGTTACTACACAGAACGCGACTAATCTATGGTACTCTGTAGAGCTTTTCTCAGTAAAATTACAGTTGCGGGTATCCATGCAAGTACTTGTTCAGTAAATATACTGCTATGGGTACCAAATGTAGTACCTACATCAGTATAATTATTGAGACTTTTCGAAGTACTCATATCGGGTACCTTGCTGAGGCTTTCTCTGTACATGGGTACCCTTAGCTCAGTACATTCACTAGGGTTTAGATCGAGCGACAAAACTCATTGCAAAAAAGAGTACGTGATGCCTGTGCTATACATTAGTTCTCTCCTGATGGAACATGCTCATGTCGGGATCATTTTTAGTTGTTGTTTTTTGTATCGTTTATCATTTTTCATATGAAAAAATTTAAAAAAATGTATGCTCTAATCATTCTCTTTTCTCTTTTATTGATTGATGTGAAAAAAATATTTTTTGATTATGAGATAAAAGTTACATAACATATGAACTTGAAAATTCGTATATCTTGAGAAGAATTACAAGTTGATGGTGATCGTTGGTGTGGATAGAGGTGGAAAGTTACCGTTCCCGGGTAACGGTCCTACTGTTGGGGGATACCCTTGGGTTCTCAAGTCCTACTATTAGGGAGTATCCTTGGGGTCCTCAAGTCCTACTTATTGGGGCTACCTTGAGGTTCGCAAGTCCTACTATTGTGGATATCCTTAGATACTCAAGTCTTACTATTGGAGAGCACCTTGGAGTCCTCAAGTCCTACTATTAGGAGATACTGTTGGGTCCTCAAATCTTACTATTAGGAGGTACCTTAGGATCCTCGAGTCCTACTTTTAGGGGTATCTTGGGATCATTAAGTCCTACTATTGGGAGGTACCCATAGGTCCTCTCTTTTAGGTTGTGAGTATGAAGGCGAGTGTATATTTCGATCAGCACATGAGTAGTGTAGACGTGTATGTGTATCTTTTGTTGGTTGTATCTCCACCGCCATCCACATCTACAGTCTCGATGACTTCAGTTAAAACAGATATACGTACTGGAAAAAAATTAATTGACTGAATGATTGACGTAGAAATTGCAATATTCTTTATAATCAACCGTTCGATTATTTCATGTTATATATGTTGGGAAAGATTTTTTCAGAGGAAAATTATATTTGTGGCATAACCTTAATATTTTCTCAGTTTATTCATCGTGTATTCCAATAGAAGAAGCTTTTAATATAATACCTAAGGAATTGAAACGTGAAACACGATCGAGTCGCTTTTATGGCATATGAGAACTCTCGTGATGTTGATCTTAACAACTAACGCAATTTTAAGGATAAAGTTACTTTTCACCGAAAGAAGTTTTGTTGAAAACATTTGCAGAGACAAACGAATAGTGTGAATGTAAGCAAAATAAATTTGACATTTATTTGAGGTATCGTGTTATACGAGCCAAAGATCTTATGATAGTCAGTAGCCTTGACAAATTTTTTCGACGAAAAGCAACCAATTCAATTAGAGAAGCAGATTTTGACTTGTCTGCCATAGTCTGTAGAGCAGATTGTGGAGCTTCATTATGAAAGTTAAACGAACATTCAACAATATGAAATAACTTTGGAATAGTTTCATTGATAAAACAGAATCATATATTGTTGATGAGACTCTATAACAATATAGCTATAGTATATCAATTTATGAATAATCATTTAAATGGACTATTAATTATACTTGGAGAAATTCACTAGAGTTAAAGAAACAATTTTTCCAACTGATTTTTCAATTCTAGCTGTTCTATACAGTAATATTCGTATTATACATTATTCACAGGACGATAACCAAGCTATGTTTTTATACATCGAGGAAGTATACTATATTTAACAGAAAATATTTTCATTTCTTCATTCATCACTCACTAACTCCTATTACAATCTAGCCATAGGATAGGTATTGATAAAGAACAAGTCCTTGTAGTTTTTGTTCACACAAGAACTGATTGAATGAAAATCGAACTCATCGTATCTTTTGTTTAATGCTCACATCTACACACACACACACTCGATTAAGAAAGAGAATAAAAATGTCTATGAATTCGTCAACTTCCCTTATAATAAAAGAATATTGATGATCGTATTTATATGTACTGAATTGAAAATTGTTACAGAATCATATACTTATAGTATCTATGAATGTTATAAAACATTCTTAAGAGGGAGCAACAAGTAGGAACAGTTTTGGAAACTATCTTATTATTGTTGACCAAAGTCATAAAAAGATATAGAAAATTATTTTTCTTTGTCAAGACTAATTTGTTGGTATTATTTTGGATTTGTGGAATGATAATGAATACCCGGATCGATCAAAAAGGGGTACCCGTTACGGGGTCGTTTTCGGACAGCAAACGATGAAAAAAAGGCTAGTTTACGGCCGTAAATACTCCGTATTACCCCGTATGAGTGGATGCAGTAATACGGTACCGTATACGGTGAAATAACGGCCGTATACGGTGAAAAAGTCACTGTAGTACGGTCCGTAAAACTACATCCACTCATACGGCCGTAATACGGTCCGTAAAGTAACCGCATCGTCCGACCTGGGTATGTATGGATGATTGTTTGGAACCAATAGAAGATATGAAATGAAAATTCCTAGTTCATTGTAAAGAAATAATTTTTTATATTAAATCATTTACTATAACTTTAACTCAACGATACAAGGCGAATTCATCTATGTTATCTTCCCTGAATAATCCATATGAAAAGCAACAAAAAATTTTCAAAAATATACTGAGCATTAGACGTCATTTTAACTAGATTAGCAAAAGCTTTTCTTTTTGCACATTGTAAGAAACGAAAAAAAAAATTAATTGATCCTTTAGTTTTATATAAAAAAAATTAGTTAAATAAGAAAATAGAAATTGTTTTTTTTCTATTAAAGATAAATATCGATGATGAGAATCGATTAAAATTAACTGAAAAAATTTTTATTCTTGTTTTTTTAATTCAAACTCAATCAGATAGTCCTCAATTATTTTGTGATTATTTTGAATGATTTACTAAATTATTAAATGAAATTTTTCAAAAATATTCATAATTAAAATCATCTATTGAAATAATTATTTTATCAAAATATTTATCCTTATCATTCAGCAAATATTATTACATTTGAATATTAACTTCGCTTAATACGTTATTCATTACATCAAAATTTACAAATATTTGAATTAAAAATAAATAAAAAAAAAATTATCTTAATCAATTTTTTCATCATAAAATTTTAATTTCTTTAAGTATTATTTGTCATTTATCATGATAAATAGTTATTCTAATTTATGAACATAATCTTTATCAATTATTTGATGATAATTTCTTTTCACATGTTATTAAACTTTTTCTTTTGTTTCAGATCAAAATTTTTATATACGTTATACTGCGTTATACTCTTACATAATTTTTAGCATTATATATTTCTAAACATTATCAATATAAATTATTGAATCAAATTCAAAGACAATCTCGAAATTCAAATTTTATTTATAATATTTTAATATTATTTAATCAAAATAAACGAGAATTATTAATTAAACAACTGAATATTTATCAAAAATCTATCAGATAGTACAGCAATAAGGACATTTATATTAAAAACAATTACACCCAACTTTATGATCTATCCACTAATGGATTCTTCAGTTGTTGTGTCATGGTTTATTTGATTAAAAAAAAGTCATTCAGTTCTTAAGATGATTCAACAAAAATCGTATTTCTTTATGAAATTAGTTACACCACTGAGATAGAGAATAATACGGATAACTATCAAAATAATTCAGTTTGTCCTTGAGCTATGTTAAAATAAAAAAGAAATCTTTGATGCTCATCCATCAAAAAAAAGTATGAGAATATCTCCAAAGCAATCGTTTTCTATTTGATCTATTGATTCAATGTATCATTGAACAAAGAACAAAATCTTACTTCTGTTTTGCTTTTTTCATAAATTAATCCACTTCGACTCAAATGTTTTTCCATGCATGTATATCATAGAACAAATGAATTTGATAGTCTAATGGTACCTGTCCTTCGCCGAATGACATATCTGGAAAAACTCACCTTATCTCTCCGTGTTGGTGGGAAAAATTCCTTCATTGATGGCACTTATTTGAATAATTATATACTCAATCAAATGGCACATCTACATACATTTCACTTCGATATTGTTACTGAATCTGTCAGCATGAATGAACAACAACCTAAGCCAACACCTGATGATATTCGACGTACATTCACGGAAATAGGATATCATGTTGATTGTTATATCGACTATGAATTTTATAACTCAGGTCGATGTCATGTTTATTCAATTCCATTCGATAATGAACGTATGTGTCATATAACGCACGGTTTTCCTGGTGGTATGTTCATCAATGTTCGTATTCTACGTATGAAGGACGATTTCTATCCATTCGAACAAGTTTTTTGCTCAAGTCTCACGTTTATTTCCACTACTTAGTCGTTTGATGGTTTCCAATGTAAAGGAACAAAAAGAGAAGCATTTAGAAAAATCTTCGATTATTGACTTTTCTCATCTTGTCGAACTTGAGTGTCCCACTGTACATATCGACTACGTGGAGCAATTTCTATTCGATTCGAATACACGTTTATCTTGTCTGAACAAGATTTATATTGCATATGAACATTTAGTAAGTGTGACAGAGAATTTTATAAGACGTACAACGAATATAAACTGTGCAAAATGGAAGCATATTATTTTTGATCGAAATAGGGCAATGGTGCATTCGAAAGACTATTATCTCTACTTTCCTTTATGGTTGTAAATAATGTTCTGATTAAATATATCATTTGACTTTGACTATGTTCAGGTCGAGGGTGTGTGGATGTTGATGAGCTTTGTCAATTTTTGTGATTTGTACCCCCCCCCCCCCTCGCAATCCCACACCCACACCCTTATAAACGCTTCATACATAGATAGAATTTCCAATATCTCTACTAGATCAAATGAAGTATTTGTTTCATTAAAGTTGTATATGGTTTTCAAACGCAGCTGATAATGACTGCTTGAGTAACATTCAAAGCCGTCGCACGCAACTTTGTATTATTTCTTTTGTAAAGACTCTCGCATCGATGCATACACATACACACTCTCATTTCACTATGTGCTCTTGTTCGATAGAATTCGAAATTATTTTTCATGTTTTTGTTTTATCGAAAACTGCACTTCGTTGATGTTGAATTCGTTCTGCATCATATCAACTCCACGAGTAAAATGCAACGCACAAACAAATATTCTAGTTTGCTATAAATCAGATATTTTGAGAACCAGTTTAAAATAGAAATTCTGAGTAGAGTTCACCGTTCCGATTCAATATCAGTTTTGTTATCGATCACCAACCAATCACTAATTCGGCACTTTTTTTCGAAGTGTCAACCACATGCCGTGTAGCTTCATCGATTTCATTGTCATTCAGCGAGAGTTCGGTGAGTGTCTATAAGAAAAAAAGAGGACGGAAATGCGAAAGATGAAGAAAGAAGGAGGTTCACTGTGTTGATTCGTAAAGCATCAGCCATATATTGGGCGCCTGCATTTCCTATTTTGCATCCATAAAGGCTGAGTTTGCTGAGTGTCTATGTGAAAAAGTGAATATGAAAATGAGAAAGATGAAAAGAGAAAGATGTTCACTTTGTTGTTCCGTAAAGCATCAGCCAGATGTTGGGCCCCTCCGCTTCCAATTTCATTTCCATAGAGGTTGAGATCGATCAGTGTCTGTGTGAAAATATGAAGAGACAAATGAGAAAGATGAACAAAGAAAGATGTTTACAGTGTTGTTTCGTAAGGCATCAGCTAGCTGTTGGGTTCCTGTGGCTGCGATTTCATTATATGAGAGGTCGAGTGTGGTTAAAGTCTGTGTGAACAAGTGAACAAGTGAACATGGAAATGATAAAGATAAAAAAGAAAAAGAAAAAAGGGTTTACATTGCTATTCCGTAAAATATCAGCCAGACTTTGGATGGCTTCGTCTCCGAGTAGATCGTATGAGAGATCGAGCTCGATGAGTGTCTAGATGAAACAGTGAAGATGGAAATGAGAGGCATGAAGAAAGAACGTGGTTCACCTTATTATTTCGTAAAGCATCGACCAGATGTTGAGCTCCTTTGACTCCGACTCGATTAGCGCGAAGGTGGAGATTTGTGATTGTCTATGTGAAAATAGCAACGATGAGAATGACAGTGATAAAGAAGGAGAGAGGTTAACTGTGCTATTGCGTAAAGCATTAGCCAGACATTGGGCTCGTCCTTCGCTTTCGATTTCATTTTTCCAGAGGTCAAGTTCGGTGAGCGCCTGTGAGAGGAAAAGAAGACGGGAATGTGAAAGATGAAGAAAGAAAGAAGTTCACAGTGTTATTTCGTATAATATTAGCTATATCTTCAGCCGACTTATTTCCGATTTCTGCGCCGCCGAAGATGAGCCTTTTAAGTGTCTGTATGACGAAATGAACATAGAAATGTGAAAGATGAAGAGAAGAAGACACTTACCGTGTTATTTCGCAAAGCATTGGTCAGAAGTTGAACACCTTCATCATCGATTTCATTGCTTACGAATCTGATTTGGGTGAGTGTCTATGGGAAGAAACGAACATCCAAATGCAAATGATGAAGAAAGAAAAAAGACCCACTGTGTTGTTTCGAAAAGAATCAACCAAAAGCTGAACGCCTTTGGTCCCCATTGTATTGCCTGAGAGAGTAATTGTAGTGAGTGCCTGTGAGAAAAAACGAAGATGTAAATTCGAATGATGAAGAAAGAAAGGGATTCACGGTGTTATTTCGTAAAATATCAACCAGATGTTGGGCCACTTTCTCTCCGATTTCTAAACCAGTAAGTTCGATTGTAGTAAGTGTCTGTATGATGAAGTGAAGATAGAAATGAGAACGATAAAGAGAAAGAGAGACTCACCGTATTATTTCGTAAAGCGCCAGTCAGATGTTGAATTTTTTCTTCTTCCATTCCACTTCCGAACAAACTGAGCGTGGTGAGTGTCTATGCGATGAAGTAAAGATAGACATGAGAGGTACGAAGAGAGAAAGAGAGTCACCTTGTTATTTCGCAAAGCATCAGCCAGATATTGAATCCCTTCGTCTCCCACTGTATTACCACAGAGACCGAGTCCGGTGAGCGTCTGTGTGAAGAAGTTAAGATGGATAATGGATATGAGTGGTATAAAACGAGAAAAAGATTCACCGTATTATTTCGTAAAGCATCAGCAAGATGTTTAGCCGCTTCATTCACCAATGTATTGTTCATCAGGGTGATTGTGCTGAGTTTCTGTTCGAAAAAAGTGAAGATAGACATGAGAAGCATGGAGATGGAAAGAGATTCACCCTGTTGTTTCGGAGAGCATCAGCAAGATGTTTACCCGCTTTATCGCTGATGTTATTTGAAATGAGGGTGAGTTCGGTGAGTGTCTGTGAGAAAAATTACTGTAGAAAGAAGAGAGATAAATATAGGGAACACTTGTTCCATGACGAAGGAAAGAAGACACCAATGATGAAATGCGCAAAATGGACAACAACTCTTGAATCGTGGTGGTATATTTTGTTGTCCCTGTCATTACTTGACCCAATAAAGAAAACTGATGAAAAACTGAAAACGTTACTGCGTTACAGTTTTCTTCGAGTAGTACCGTAGTGCTTACCATGATACTTGATTTTATGAGCATTAGTCCTTTTTATTCCATATATTGCTATTTGAGGTATCAAGATGCATGGGATCAGAGCAGCAAAAGTTTGCATACTTTCAAAGAAGAATTCAAAGTATGTGTAAAGTAGCGCTTCTCTCCTCACATATCTCAGTATCAATAGCAACAATATCTGCGAACCAAATATTAGTTTTCATATGGTGAACTATCATGACAAGTATCATTGCGTTACTTATGATTCCACGTTGATAACCAAAAGCTCTGATTTACTCAGTAAAGTAATGACACAGGAAAAATCCATGTGCCAATTCACTTCCTACAGAATGTGAAACATTATTCATTAAATTTCTGACCTATATCGGATATGGAATTGCTTCCATGACTCACATCCTCCAACGAGACTTAAATTCTCACAGTAGTTGCTTCCAAAGCACTTACAACCTAGTAACAGTTATTCTCAGGAGATGCGCTCTTCAAAATCACTTGGCATTTAGCTTTCCCTTGTTTTTTGACTAGTTAAAAATAAATTTTAAAGATTTGAAAGTGAATAAAATTAAAATGAACATGAGATGTTAAATCTCCGCAGAAGTTCAAGATACTAAGGCCTTCTCATGTTAATTTTAAAATTATAGACAAGTGTGCTGAATCGTCATCATAACTCGAGGAAGAATGTGGATGCATATGTACCTCCAATGTTACCGATGTCAAAACCTACACCTACATCTTGCTAGATCTAATCGGAATATATCGAGCGTTCGCTCTTTTTTTCTCAGAAAACCAGAAGTTCGTGACAGAATTGCGTAGCCACAATAATTAGATATTCTGACATGATTGGACACAATTTTGACAGAGAGTTCAATCAGAGTCCTTAGCAGTTTACATCTTGTTTTTGAACTGAGAATCATTCATCGAAACTTTATGAGCATGATGTGCGAATGCAGATTTATTTTACGTTAACTAACAGCTACAGTTACTGATACATCTTCCTGTCAAATACTTATTAAGATTGTCGTCTGATCGAGCAAAAGTAGTTGACTAGATCCTTGTGTCAGGGTCAGATTTGATCCCGTATAAGACATGATGAAATCTTGATAGAATTTTTATGATACTCCTCTAAAGATTCTGACTAGAATCAAGATTGAAAAGTTTTAGGGTCCTGCACTCATCAGTTAGAAAATATATGTTGGCAGGAGTCTAAAGAAATTCTACTCAGGATCCCAAATATTTTTAATTTGTTGACAAAAATTGTATAGCGAAATACCAAGTGTCGTGCGGGCACATTTCCACTGAACATCATTTATTGATTCTCGTATATCTGATCAAATATCATGTCTGTCAGATAGCAAGTCCGCTTCCTTTCAAGAATACAAAACCAAAACCGTGTAATGATATCACATTCATACTAAAACCCTAGTACTTTGTATGTTAATAATGTAATAAACTGGTATTTTTGGCGTTTTCTATCTCTGACGTTTGGTAAAAAATAAAATACTATTTCGGAAATTTTCAAAGACATGAATGCCAAAGTACCAGGCAATGCAGAACAGAGTTCAGTATTTTGAATGATTGTTGAAATCAACAAAAATCAATCTACTCTATTGAAGGTATGCTAATCTAAAGATGAATGTTGGTTCTATGCACTTCTATATTTGAATCAAATTGTTCCTGGCAAATAGCACAAGAACACAGTGCATAGTGAGGCGTGTCAGAATAGAGATAACAAGGTAGCAGGTCATATATATATGTCTAAAATTTTTCATTTCTTAATTCTTGACATTAAAACATTATCCTCTCACCTCGTTATTTTGTAATTTACTGGCAGCAATAATCATGTCTTGATCAGATAGTTCACACAACATCAATTGCGGCGAGTCGCCATTTTCAGAAAAAAGTTTTTCCACATCGACCGTGGGACATTCTGAGTTATTGTTCGATTCTTGTTCTTGCTCTAAAATGCACATATGTTTAAGAACGTCTTCGTGTGAGAGAGAATGACGGGGAGAAGGCCAAGCTAACTGCTTCGCTCTCAAATATATATATATATATATATGAACGATTATAAGTTCTAAAAAATAGAACCCAATATATTCCCAGTCTTTTTTTGGCAAACTTTTCAGAAATTCCGTTAGATCAGTCCTTTCACACCCTCAGGCTGAAGGGTAGGGGATCATTCTGTTTTTCTACTCGAAAGTTGATTACAAGCAAAATGTTAGAGAAAATCAAATCTTCTTTTTGTTCCTGAATTTTGAGCATTATTATTCATCCATCGACTATAGCTTTTTCCAGAAAGACCAGACATCCAGCTCTATAGTCAACAATATGCTTTTACTTTCAAATAATACTTTCGATACATAAAATCTTTACTCAAACTGCCACTGGAATACTTTTTCTTTAGATGAAATGTTGGGTCTTTCTATATGTACATATGATTTTCCAAAATTTTCACTTCTGTGTTGCACTAAAGAATACCTGAAGACATTTTTGGCACCAACAATATCAAATCGGAAAAATGATAATGTATATAATATAAAATTGATCAGTTCTCGTCTTTCTCAACAATCAAAAATAATTTGGTACCAGATGACGATCGATGCACCAATTAGATGCACAAAACAATGATAAACTGAATCTGAAATAAAAAAAGAACAACAATGAAATAATTTTAGTTAAACATGAATAATGTAACATTAGAACTTTTGAAAAACATAAATCTTGAGAATTCAAGAACGATCCCAACAAGCAAATATCATTCAACAAAATTAATCATAGAAGAAAATTTCAGTATCTCTCTCATGCTTATGATCAAATGTAGACTAGATGAGAAATAACACAAAAGACTGCGAAGGAAATACCAGAACACATACACATTTACATTGAGACACTAACTTTTGCCCACAAGTATCTAATTACCACTATGCAGCTATACATGCCCATAACAAAGGTATGAGCGTCAGTGCTCTGGTTTTCGGAAATTAACATTCAGTTAGACACAAAAGTATCCTATGTTGATTCAATGAAATTTTTATCATGTTATCCAATTGAATCATATATAAACTGAAAGAGACTCATTTCGTGAGTATTTCGATACTAAGTGTAAATCATATTTGCCAGCATTTTCAAACATAGTATCGTTTACAAAGTGCACTCGATAGTCTTGATCTAATGCTACGTTTACATTTGAAGGCCAACTTCTCGATACACGATGTCGCTGAATATCTGGGCATATCGTCGTCTATTTTCATCACACAATGAGAACGTCAAAAAATCTTAGCACTATTTTCTCCACAAAGATTCCAGGATGTCAGCATCTATTATAGACCGTGAGATAGTTCTTTCCACTGAGTACAAAAACATCTTAACAGTACAATGAAAAAATAACACTGGGCCACTTGGAAAGTGTAAGACTACATAGTGCAAAAATGGAAAAAGTTTTTTTTTTTTTATTATGAGTTGTTACTGTATTAGACATGTATCAGTATCCGAAACTGAGCTCCGTTATGTAATTCATCTAACATTCTTGATTCCTATTCGCTGTTAGTATGAAGCTCCTTGGCAACTTATTCCTCTTTAGTTGACACAACTGTACAATTTTGTCAAAAGCATAAACGTCGGTGTTATCGTATTTGCCTGATGCCGAATGCAAGTTGTTCAGACAAAACTCATTGGCAACCTTGAGCAATAGTTTACAAATGACAATATTGGAATGGTCATTATACCGTTTTTTCCGATCGAATAGGAACAAAAAAGAAAAGCGTAACAATAATTGACAGAGAAATTATCTCGTCTGAATGAGTTTAAAGACAAGCAATACATATTTTTACTGTCTTTCTCGACAGAAGTAAACATATACACACATATGACGCACATCCAGATGGGAGCACAGAGAGCAAAATTGGATAGGACTGCATGCGAACATTTATACATGCAGGAAAAGAATACATCAAACTTTGACTTATTATATCGCTTTTTAGCCTTACGTTTTTTCAAATTGGTCAGCTTTTTTCATTGTAATCCTAAAGTGACTTTGTAGC